TTAAAATGTCTGACCTCTCTCACTGTGAGTTTTTCTATTCTTCCTCTGATAGGAAAGACTCCCTTGCTGCAGCATATATACAGTGCCATGAATAGCCTCCCTCACTTCACAAAGCTGTAGGAACAGCTGCAGCTATGTCAAAGTGTGCTGATTTTGCACAAAAATCTGATTAAAACTGGCCATTGTGTTCAAACATGTTCTATCAGGAAGGAATGGTGATGCCATGCGATTTTAAAAGCTACATTTCTTTCAGTGTCCATTCAAATACTACAGCTGAGCAATATCAAAATATACAGTCAAAATATTTCAGCTAGGAATTTTTAACTAAAAAAGCAACATTTGCTACTGGGCAGACTAATACAAAATTCACAGCCATCAGAACTAAGTATCAACTATAAAAATCAGAACCACACAAAAGTATTCTTCCACCTGCCATAACATCCGTGAACTCTGAAATAAAGCACAGCAAGCAGAAACAGAAATAACCATGTAAGATGCCAAAAGATGATTGCCTAGATATGCCCTGAAGCACTAAAGCTCTTGTGACAAAAACGCACATAGACATTATGTGCAGCAATGTAAAGTTGCAGCACTCAACCCTGAAAAGTTTCAGTTCAGTGACAGAGTCATGCCACAGGCTGAACAACTGACAGTGTAGTCTCGTGATACTTTCTCAGCTTTGTACCATGATGTTGTGTCCAATCTTAATGTGACAAAATCTACAGTTACACATTAAAATAACAGTACAGTTATTTTATGGTCGTGGAAAATCATAACCCCCATTTCCTTAGCATAAACCCACTTATTTCCCTCCTGCTTCCTGTCCATCTCCTCCATCTGCTACCTTCTTAAAAAGTGAATCTTCTACTTTCATTCTTTAGGGTTCTTAGAGGAGTTTCTTTACCCAGTGACCTCAGTGCCTAAGATTGCATTTGTACAATATAAGAGCAGCATGTCACAAAACCTGTCTAAAACCACTCTGAGGCTGAGCCAGCAACTCCCCAAAACCACAAGAGTAAAACTACAGCTCAAATGCTAAACATCAATACAGGGAAAAAGCCACAATAGACCTGTTTATGTTCTTTATGTCCATATGTTAGCTTTTTTGCTTTTTAATCCATAAGCAAACTAAACTGCAGAGAAACATCAAGGAGATTGTCCAGATGCAAAAAGGCAAAAAATTAAAATTTATGAATTTTCAACAATTAAATTTTTACTTTTTCCTATATAGTCACCAACTACTTGCAGCCAAAATATGCACAACATCACCAGATTTAAAAGAAAAAAATACTAAGAACTATCATACAATTCCAAATTGCTTTTACCATACTACAAACAGTTACATTTAATTTCCATCATTTAGATGTAATTTTCATCTTACAGGTTTTTGGTGTCATTTTGGTGTTTGTTTTGGTTTTGTTAAATTCTTGGCTTTTTTTTTTTTAAAAAAGGACTATTAATTGTGAGGGCAGTCAAATTTCAAGGCTTCTGACTCCTTAACATAGCAAGTATTTCAGCTTACACTGTCCAACACACAGTTGTATTCAATTCACAAGTAGTTGCTTGTCCCTTCTGGGCAGATCGCCAGCAAGTGACAAGCTGATGAAGCAGCAGTTTACAGTCTATGTTATGAACAAGTTCTAATATAGTGTTTTGAAATAATTTGCACAATAATGTCATTATTTAATCCAAAACATTTCTACAATGGTAGAGTAAGTGAGCAGCAATTAGAATAATTTACAGATTAACAGGTTATATTTTATATATTTTATCTTATATTTTTTATTTATCTTATAGTCTATAATTAAGATTTCACGAACATTTGTTTTTTTAAACAATTATTCAAACAAATACACTCAGAAGGAAAGCTATGTCAGACAGTCACAATTATAATTGTGAAGGAGTCATCATGGGAATGGAAAACACAAAACGGGACAGGCAAAAGGATCTCGCATGGTTTTTAAACGCTCTATCACTGATAGCTCTGGTATACCTTTTATTCCCATTAAAATGGATGTAAGTGGAACAATAAAACATTCTACAACAGCAGATTAAGACCTAATTGCAAAGACAGTATGTCACATTCTCTGGTGATTTAAATCCAGCCCTATGCTATGCCTGACCAATATTCACTAGCAAAGCAAGAACTAAGTTCCTTTGCATCAATTCCCTTACCATTGTCTTAATTATCTTAATACATATAATGAACATAGGGCAACTGAAAAAAATCCAGTTCTAACACTCTCAGTGGGAACTTCAGCATTCCATTGTGAACATATGCTAGGATTAATCCATGAAACATTTATTGTTCTGCTTTTTCGATCTTGCTCATCATATTGCTTAAATGAGACTGAGGAAGGGGAAAAAAAAAAAAAAATCAGCAGAATAAGGCTATCCATGTACAAAAAAAGATATTAGAATTAGCAAAAAGAAATGGCAAAAAAACAAATGCTACTGGTTATATGCACATGCTATTTTTGGTAGCCTAGAAATTATATGCTAAAATATAAAAAAATTTTGGAAAATTGGAGAACAAACTTTTAACCTTTAGGTAAAATTACAATAAACTTTATAAAGGTATCATTACATTGCAAGAGGCAATATAAAAAACTTCTACCTCTTGGGTTTTACCTAACATTTTAACAATAGTAGAATACATTATTTACTCCAGTATAATCATGTCTTCAGAGCAGTTGCACTATCCTAATTCGTGCCAAATGTAAAAGCTGCTTGCAAAAAGAAGAACTCAGGGTAGTTTGTAACCCATATCAAAACCAAAGGCTTATCAAATGCATTGAAAAATAAGTTCTACCTATAAACATAAATAGCAACAAAATATTTTAATTTTAATTCTTTAGCAGAAGATTGCTTTGGAAAAACAGCAGCATTAGAAGGAAAAAGTAGTAGTTAATATTTGTAACTCTCTCCTAAATTGAAAACATTGCAACAAACAACCCAAACCTCATACATTCTGGCAATCCTGGTACAGTTATTTTTAAACATTACTGGCAGTTTAGGGATGAAAATAACCTGCAGTGTGTAAACTGACAGAGGACTAACATTGTAGGGATAGTCTTCAGTTATAGATTGATTACTTTAACCCAATATAAATTTTTTTTTTTTTCGAATGCAATGTTTATTCGAGAATATGCTCATTTAAGAAATAGTCAGGTAATATGGCAGCGACTGATCATTTCACAGCCCTTTTCTTGTTGCTATGAGTATCAGCAACCCATTTGAATCGCTACCTGTCTACACTGATTTTCAACTCAATCACATTTGTTGGAAAGTTCTTGCTGGACTTAAGTCAATAGCATATATTTCAGCTTTGGGCCAGTTTCTGGTGGTCCCTATGTAATAAACTGAGGTAACCACATGCCTCAAGATGTGTTTTAAAGTGGCTTATAAAATTATAGCAAACCAAAGAGTCAGAAACCATTACAAAATACCCCAGCAAGACAGAAAATCATTCTAAACTTACTAATAGCTACATAAAGGGAACAGGTGGCTGTGGTAGAAAAAAAATCCACACATAAATCCTTTTCAAACACTTTTAGAATACTAAAAGACTAAAAGGTTGCTCTGAAACTTTGAAATAAGTTTCTGAAGACAAGTGTGAAGAGATATAATTCACCACCTCTCTAACAGTATTTTAGTCTTTATCAGCATAGTGCCTATAACAAATGCAGAGGAATATCTAAAGCTTTACAACCATGACTATCAAAGTAGCCTGATTTCATGCTGAGTATTATTTCAGCTTCATATTCCTTTGCAAAGGGTATCTGCTGAGAAAATTAATACCATCTTTGATTTCTACAAACCAGTTGGTTTTATTGTTTTAGAAGAAAGTCAGCAAGATTTACAGATACAATTAAGTGTATGTCTAGGCAAAATATGTAACAATCCTTTCTTCCCTGAGTATTAACACTGTCATGCACCTTATTTCTCTGGACAATTAATTTTTCACATGTCAATCATTTTTACATACCCATTCACAAATGTTACGGTCTAATTGAGGCACTTGTTTATATTCGCAAGTCTGCATCTGTCATTTTTAACCCATCTCAAGAACATGAGCTAAAGGTTACGGGAATAACCCTCCATCATGGCTGTCACAGGTACTCTACAACTCACCCAAATACAAAGAGGCACAAGTTGAAACCTGTATTTGAGTGGCTGTACTTCACATGCTCTCATGCCAATATTTTACGTGTGAAATCTTTAGCACAAATCCCCGTGCTTGCCTCACCTTACAAATTCCCAAAGAACTGACTTTGTGCTTTTGATAAACAGAATATTAAACATTAATTTTTGCTTAGTGACAGATTATTATTTATGAAGAAATGTATCAGAAAAGCATTCAGTCAAGAACAGCCCAATAAAAAAACCTTACTACCTTTTAACCTAGTGTGCTGATTATACATAGCAGCAGTTTACCTACTATAGATTGCTGGGCTTTGATCACTGCAGTATTTCTGCTGATAAACAGTTCAGCAACTCAAAAATGCCATATTTGTTTGTATTTTCTCCTATCCTCTCAGCAGTTACATATTCTCATTTTACCTGCCTCTATTTTAAAAAGAAAAAAATACAACCAAAAGAAAAGTCAAGCTCCATGACTAAATACACCATAATAGTCCCCAGAACACATTTCAACATTATAAACATATGCCTTCTATACAGCATACAGACGATGCAGCTGTTCTCACTGCCCATCCTCCCTTTTCCCCTTGCTTCTCTGGGTGATCTTACTTGCAGGCTTCAGTTCAAAGCACATGTAAAATTAAAGAAAAATTGTAAAACTTCTAGAATAGGAGAGAAGAGATAAAGGGTATTCTCTCAGAAGAAATCTGCCATACTGCCTCAGAGGAAGACACAAAGCTCAAAGCTTAAAGACAATAATGGCTTTCATTATACTAATGTATTTTAAATTCTTCTATCAGAAAAATCAACCCATTAGAAGCAAATGCATTTTCAGCAATTATCTTGTGGTTCTCTAACAGCATAAGCTGCATTTTAACATGTAAGATTTTAGAAGAACATACTACTAATAATAGTAAGTGTTCAAGACCAGGTTGGATGGAGCCTTGAACAACATGGTCTAGTTGGAGGTGTCCCTGCCATGGCAGGGGGGTTGGAACTAGATGATCTTTGAGGTCCCTTCCAACCCAAACCATTCTATGATTCTATGAATAGTATACTAATAATTTCACTTTCAGAATTCTTTCAACATTCCAACATCAACAGTTCATGAAGAAGTTGAAAAATGCTACACAAACGTTTCTAAAGTTTATCAAGGTCTAGCCTTTGACTCCCAATTCAAAGTTTTCTTTGGTACAAGTTACTCATTTGAATAGTCCCCTTTGCTAACAGCATTTTTATAAAGATGCAAACAGAAAATCCATTAAGTGTCCATGAAGTAGAGGGTGCTAATCACCTGCTGACTGCTTGGCATTTGAGTGTAGTTTCATTCAAATAACGCTACAAATGAATGTCACAATTCCACTGCCCACTGCCAAATGCTGTTATAATGACAGCCTCAACAACTAATCAACTGTTTAAACTTAAAATTTGCTAATTTTATTTGCTATTGTTTGTTGATTTTTTTGGTTCTGTTTCTTTCAAGCACAGTTAAGTCACTGAGGTGAACTGTTTTGTGGATAAGCAAAAAAGTAACAATTGCAGGTGCAACTTATACAACTTAATACATGACACAAAGAAATCTTTGTATTTCATTAAATCAGTTTCTTCCTTGTCCTTCCTTATAACAAAGATAAATATCGCTTACAGATCTGACCAGATGCAAAAAGAATGAATATGTACTTCAAAGGTAGGCAAGTGACTTAGCAATCTAAAGCCTCAGCAAAAATATATTGGTGTCTTTAAGAATTCTGCAATACAGACTTCATTTTTTCATTCATACCTCTTCATACAAATGGGCTAGTCATATCTGGTAAATTACAATGAAGATTTGTGCTTGAAAAATAGAATTTCTTTTCCATTCATGAAAGGTAAGTTGAAACTAAGCGTTTTTTTTATAAAACTTGCCTCCCCCATGAAAAAGGTCTTCACAGATCTGAGAGTTCTGTGATCTGCTTCATGTTCCAGTCCTCCTTGAAAAAAATCACTAAATGCTTATTTGAGATAAGACAGAGTGGTTGTGAATCATTGATGCCAGTCTTGAGAGGAAGTTACTACAGAGGACTGTCAATCCTTGCCTAGATCAAAGACTTCAGGGCATCAGAAATAGTAAAATTCTTATTTAAATAAGGCTCTGTAACCTCAACCTAGAGCACCAAGTTTAAGAAATTAATTGAGCAGGAGGAAGAAGATGAAGAAAGAAATTAAGATCAGGAGAAAACTTACTTGCTATTAAGCATGCAAATGAAGTACCTTAGTCGATGTTTACAAGACATTAACATTAAATGTCAATCACTACTAGAGTTAGACTTCCAAATCATTTTCTTCTACAATACAAAGGTAGTGCTCCAGTTAAGCATTAAGTGAGAACATTCACCAGTAGTTTAACATCTCCCTGTAAATAATTACAACTGCATTTAGCACAAGAGGAATGTATGTTTTTCATTCCATATAAGCTAGTATAACACTGCGGCAAAATCAGAGAAGGTTATACTTTTACAGTGAGAATTTTGAAAAACTTTGCATGAGAGAGACTTCTATTCCTGATTTCACTGAAGATACAGAAAGATGTCAGCAAGTGAGGAGTAAGCAGACAGCATGTGTACTGCTGGCAGTTACCCTGGTCACACGGAGTTCAGAAAAGGTTAGACTACTCAAATAACTACTTATTTTTTCAGGCAGAACTGGGAACACATCACCAAACCCATGCTGTTGCAGCTATGTTGCTAGCAAAATTCAAGATAATTTATATACAGTTATGTGAACTACGGTCACAGTAATGAATCCAGTACAACACATTAAGTCTCCCTAGGAATCTGCTAGGTATACATTCATTACATGCTACGCTCAACAGTAAGCCACATTACAATTGATTAGATAATTGCATAAAACTGAATTTAATCACTATATCTTACTATCTTACTATAACTGTACCTGTGAGTCCTCAATGCCTGAGACCTCACTACAGCTCTATTTCTACCTAATCCAAATTAAATAGTATTGCTGAAAGTCATAACTGGAAAAAGGTAAAAGTTACACATTTAAATGTATAAGACAGGTGAAGCAAATAAAAGAACTTCTGCTTCCTTTACTAAAGCTAGTGTTTTAGAGGAGCTGACTTTGTACCTTGCTTTTTTACATTCTGTAAGAAAAGGCCTGTCACATGACCTGGACTGAGACCAAGTCCTAGCTCAGTTTCAGATTGCTGAAGTTTATGTAATTGTTTTCAAAATTATATTTCTGTTCCTTACAATAAGTAAAAAAAGAACTGCAATATTTTTTACTCATGTCTGTTAGTAGTGCTCAGTATTTCCAGAAAAGGTTTAACACTTAAAAGCAATGAAAAAATATTTCATACAAATTTTACTCTAATTGTTTAGTAAACAACGGTAGTAAAAGTCTAAAGTTTTGCCCTCTGTAGCAGGTTAATTTACTTTTACATTACTTCTCACATTGTTTGATTAGAAGGCTGCGCAGTAGAATAAACATTCAGAAGTGCAGTGATGAGTTTTGGAAGCAGGAGACAAAACAGGGGATGGTTAGGTCAGGAAAATACAAAGAAGTATGCCTGACAAAGTTTGAAGGAAGAATAACACTTGTTATTACAAAACTCGCTATTGCAGGAAGGGAGGGGGACAAGATCAAGCTTTTGGCAAGTGAAGTAGCAAATTCTGAAGAACGTACACATTAGGAGTAACTTTCTTCTGCGAATTTAAAGTTTTTTTTAAAAAAAATCTGATTTCTTAAAAAAGGGTTTTTGTTTGTTGTTGTTTTTTTTTTTTTAATTTGAGCTACTTGAGGCATGGTTTGTGTTCTGCAAGCGTTTATAAAAGCCTGGCTATTATAAACTAGATCAAGATTTAAAATACAATATTCCGCAGGGCCACAGACTAACTGGTTATAACATGCACATCTTTACACAATGAACTACACATACAGATCATCTATCTAGTTGTCCAATTATCCTTGTGCTAAAGGCATTAAAAGCTCTGGATAAAAAGTTTGCTGTCTCACATACCAATTGCCTGCTTGAGGCTGCTGGGAGGCACAGTTTATGCAGTCCACTACTCAGACATTAGGTTCTAAGATGACACCTTCCCTCTCTGACACTACATTATTTTTGTTACGATTGTATTCCTGATTTTGTCAGTGGAGAAACGTCTCCAGTATCCCCAGTTATCACAGGAAGCATATGCTCACATTTCTAAAAGTCACAGTCATACCGCTGAATTAGCCTCAAGGTTCATTTGCTTTTTGTTTTGTTGTGTTTTTAGTGTCTTACTTTCAGGGCACAAATTTATTTCCACTACATTATCCTGTTAGAAAAGAACAGCAGTAAATCTTGTACTAAAGAGAACACCATACAGATGCTTTTCAATGCTAATCTGTATATGTCTCCCAAGAAATTCACGTGGACCTTTTTTTTTTTTAAGGTAGCAAAGTAATTTTTGTAGATGAAATGCCATACTTCTGCTAAGTCATCCAGCAGTTTACCAGCTCCCACAATTTGCCAAGTTTTGAGGTGAAATGAAAAAGCTCCTTAAAAGCTTATGAGAATTCAGTGATTTCATCACTAGAAGGTTACATTTGAGCACTTCCAATAGAGATGACCCAGTAGGATTTGCTAAGCTTCTCATCAAAAGCTGAAAAGAATGAGGAAAACAATGCCTTGAGAAAAAGCTATTAGCATTGACTTGCTGAATGCAGGTGTGATCAATGGGATCGATTTTTTTTTTTTTTGCACCCAGCTTTTTAGGATCTTGTTAAATAAAAGCTTGCCTTCACATCCACTGATTTGTTTTTCTAATTTAGCATTATTTCCTCAGAAAAGCAGAATAACAGTATTTCTGCAGTCAGTAAAATGCTGAAAAAGCAGAAAAAGCACTATTTTAAATAGCAATAAAAAGTGCACACTTCCTTGAACACTGTAATTCAATGTACAAAGGAAATTACAATAGCCTAATAAGGCTAAGCAGAACACTAGCCCACCTAGGCTCACACTCCAATATACTTTACTGCTTTTGTTCCCTTTGAGCAGCTCACCTGGTGCAGTAATCTCTTCAGTTTCAATAACTGAGTTTTTACAGCTGTACAGTCTTGGACCATGTGCCGAAGGGTCATTTCATCAAGCATCACAGTACTGTCAGGTAAGCCCACCAGCTGTCTAGGAGGAGCCTGGTAAAAATTTGGTGCTCCATAGCCTTCAAAGTGACTAACAGGAGATTCTAGGTAGTTTAATCCCCTACAAAAAAAAAAAAATAGAAAATAAAACCCAATGACGACAAACTGGAGCTAGACAGCATTTAGTAAAAAAGGAAGTGTTATGTAACATGGGCTATATTCATATACTGTGGCACAGCAGAAAATAAATAAATCTCAAAGTGTCAATGCTATTTCACTTACATGCTGGGCTTTCCTTCCCACTTGCATAAATCTCTCACAGACTAAAAACTACAGTACCCTAAAACCAGTTTGCTCATCAGGATTTCAATAAGATCTGTCATTCAAGCTAGCCTGTAAGAACTACAAGATTATGTCTAAATTTAAATGTAGTTAATAAGTAAAAAGCTGTCCAAACTTACAAAATGCAAGTAGTAAGAATGTACTGTTTCTCCATGCAACACATACGGTAATTTAGTCAAGCATTTCTAATATCATATTAACACAAATAATAAATATTTGGACTAAAAACAGCGACACAAACAAAAGTTTTGAAAAGAAATTGTTATAAATCTCAGTGATGCTGCCACCCAGACATGCTATTTATAGACATACAACTATTTGGAAAATGTCTTGTACTCAGTATCACTTGAGACCCTTCAGTGCCACAAGAGGTTTCTCACAGTATTTTAATTGTTTGGGAGAAAAGAGACAAGTCCTTTACCTGTTCAAATCATTTTTACCATGGATATAGTGATCAGTATGGCCAAGATGATAGTGGTCCTGTGTATTCCATCGCTGTTGTGGTGCTCTTTTCCAGAATCCTTCCTGATGTTGCCTAGCATTTCTGTCTTGTCTATCATAACGGCTCATATTTTCACATTCCTCTACAGAGAGCAGAAAGTCAAAAAAATTTTAAAGTTTGTTCCTAAGACCTTGTAAATAAAATATTTGCTACGTGCTGGTAACAGATGCAGTGTAAAACCTGTGGGGTTTTATTTTTTTAAACTGATCCAAAAAAGTATGGATTTTAGAACTGTAATGTCGTCACATTTTTACTAACATATAAACTTGTTACAAGAATAAGAGTAACCTGTAGCAGAAACTACAGAATTCAGCCTTAACAGTATTTCTGGTTTAAGCAGAAAATCATTTGGAAGAGGTAGAGCTATGGGGAAGAAAAAAAAAAAAAATATATCCAAAAGTAATACTTTCCTGCCTGTCTTACTAACAGTATCTTCAGGCCTCTAGAAAGTTCAAAACACAAACACAGAAAGACGACATTTTAGAAAAAAGCCAGTACTTCATTCCAAAACAGAACAGTTCCATTACTTAAAATACAAATATGCCTCATCCTATCCTTCTTGGTTTTCAACTTGAGAGACACTTACTCTTTATTTATCTTTTGTTTGCATGATATAAAACAAGCAAACAAAATAATCTTTTTAAAACAGTAACTTCTGCAAAGCAAAGCAGATTCCACAAACTTCTTAAGGGAACAAAAGCTATATTTGGCAACAGCTTGTAAACCACTAGAAACGAAGCCAAAACAACTGCTATATGTGCAGTCAGACACAGCAAAAAAGTCATAAACTGGTATTCTGCCATCGCACTGTCTCCTTCACTTACCCAAGGAGTTTTTCCTCACATTGTCAGTCCTTTGCTAGGAGAATAACTCTACACAAGAGAACACCGTTTTATTCAGCTGCCTACTCAGACATAGCTGCGCATAAGACACTCATAAACAGGCCTTCCTTCCTGCTTGGTTCCCAGCCTGTGTGTTGCTGGGACGTGAGCCCAGTTTTACCCTGTGATTAAAAACTGCCATCCTCACTCGCTGCATACTTGTTGAGCTAGAACTGTTTCTATAAATAGTGTCCAAGCGGCATCCCAGACTCCAAAGTGAAACAAGGAGACTTTCTGAGGACCAGGAAAGTCTTAAGAGGCTGACGTCAGTGAAGTCACACATAATTATGAAAAGTGTTGCCAAAAAGTGTTGTTAAAAAATATTATAACAAATACTCATATCTACAATTCCAGTTTTATCACCTAGTTCAATAACCAAAAAAGTAAGTAAGAAAATAAACTTGTCCACCTAAAGTAAAAGATTCATTTTTCCTTTAGAAGCATCCTCCTGCAACTTATAACACATGAAAATTCAAGTGGGTTTATTCAAAATAAGCCCTCATGTTTTAAGTAATTTTATTATTATGATTTTCAGCTTTGGAAAATGAAATTGAGACACTGAGTAAAGACACATGAATACTAACAAAGAACAAGCCTTGCTTTTTCAGGTGGTCCTGTTTACTTAAGAGGAAGCTTGGAGGTGGCTTTTGAATTCTTCTTTTCAGATCCTATTTGCTAAAAATTCAGTGATTCCAACATAAGAAGCGATTATAGCAGATACACTCAGTTTATGCCACATTAATTTTACATGGAAACCCAACTTCTAAAAAATGCCAAAAATAATAATAACTAGCTAATATTGATCTCAAACAGTAAGTTTTTCTTCCTGAATCAGCAGCTTACACAGCAGATTTTCATAGTTACAAAACACACACCAACTACACAAACATTATTGATACTTCGCTGTAGAAGCGGGAGTAGACTTAAGTTTATTATATTGATGCAGTTAAAGCAGTGAAATAAAAATCATATTTCAAACGTTAACTTTTCATGTTTGTGGCAAACATTCACCTTTAAAATGCATGTATTTTTAACAGTTTTTACATTAATCATTTGAAATGGAATTAGTAACGCAGATGCAGTGTGTGTTTTATAAACAAGAAAACATTAGAAATTGATCCAACCCTTAAAATTTTTCTTAGTTTTCCCCAGCAGAATTAGAATTACCCTTATTGAAACAATATCCCCTAGGCTTGGATTGTCATCCATTCTGGAAAATTAAAAAAGTAAAAAATAAAAATTGTACACCTATCTGGGCTGCAAAGTTGAATAGTAGCACTATGGTCAACAAGCACCTTTCACACAAGTACTCTGGAAAACTTATTCTGAGATTAAAAAAATTAAGTACTGCACTTTATGTGTGCACACTGTTAAAACACTATGTGCCCTGACCGCGGTAGACAGAAAATTATGTATTTACTTACTGTTAATTTGGCTTTATATCTAACATACACAGAGGAGTCTTCACTCAAAAGACTCAAAGGTACTCTCAGAAAACCTGAACTTACCCAAACTTCAGCAAGCAGCTGAACAGCACACAAATTAAGGAAAGTCTTTTTTCTTTCAGTGACTGTTTGTGCAGGGTAGGGCATTACAGTGCTCCGCATTGAATGTTTCTGTTCATTTGAAGACATATTAGCCTCCACTGAACTTAGAGGTAAAGCTAATACCCATATTCACATGACAATTATTAGGCGTAGGTCAAGAACAACCAAAAGCAAATGCCTCAAACACCTCAAAGTTTTCCAGGCCAGGATTTGAGAAAGTGAGGCAATAATTTCCCCTACCTAGTTCATCTAGTCTGGTTTGTATTGTTTTAGTGGCATCTAGGTACCACTATCCTCCCTGTGAAAAGTTTGCCAGCATCCTCACTGATAATAAGAGTGCATAAAAGACATCTTTAAAAAAACATCTTAAATCTTAAGTCTGTTAGCCTGAATTGTATAAAATATTTTAGGAGACATTGTCACTTTGTAGAAGAAAATGAATAATTATCTCAAAGAATTACACTGCCATTCACCAAGGCTGAAAAAAAGCTGTTCCAACATTTTCAAATACAACTGAAGCATGAGACTGAAGGACTAACTTAACAGTTTGAAATTTATGCTACTAAGATAGTTTAAAGAAACAAACTTGGTTGCATTTTTATAAATGACAGTAAATGTCTAATTTCAGAATTACTGCATCTCATTAGAAATTCAAGAGTTGTATTTGGGGGAACTGAAATAACACACTTCCTATGTTTCAGAAAAGACAAGAGCTGTTACTTAAAGAAAAAACAATTTGAAGAGTGCATCGGCTTATTAAAACAGAAGCCAGAACCATGCAACTCAAGAGTTTCTGAAGCCCATAATGCAGTTTCACAATAAGACTGCTCAGCTAATTTACTCACCTTTGTCATGAGGTGGGTCCTCAGGCAGATCCACATCAAGCATGAGATCATCATCTTCAAGATCACATGAATCAAGATTATTCAAAATATCCTGCAAGAAAGAAAATGTGAGATACAGCTGCTTTCATATTTCATTTACCCTATTGTCATAAAAGTTTGTTTCAAAGCTTTGTTACACTTCTATTGTACACATTGTACCCAATGTCATCAGCAGCCTCCTCTCTTCAGAGGCCAAGATCAACCTTACTTGAGACCATCTATACAAACAACAATCATCACACCTCTAGTAATGTGATACAATAACAGTGCTAGATGAAACAAAGATTGATTCAAACATTTTTCTGCCTCATGCCTACAGAATACTCCAAAGATTTTTCTGTTCATTAATATCCTGTCTTCTCCCCAATTGGTAGCATTTTAAAACTAAATTACTTTGCTCAGTTAGAATTCAAAAACAGCTTTGTGGAAAGAAGATGTTAAATCACCTTTTTTTAGCTCTCATATCATACTATCACAATATCATTGAAGGGAATATGGGGAACCTATGTTACCTTGACTTTTTGGGCCAACAAAACTTAAAATATTATATTATCAGCACAAAGCTCTGCTGCCTTTTGTCTTTAAGATTGTGGTTCATATCAAGCTGTTTCTAAAGGGTCTAACAAACTGTCATGTTGCATGGGTGTGCTAACAGTACAAGAAAAACGCAATAAAGTGTTAGTACTAAATGGAATTATATGTATTATATATAGTCAGGTATACTGAAGAAAAAGGTCTGTAGCATGGGTAAGTCAAGTCAGTGTTAAAAAGACAAACTGTTCCTTTAAGAACATCAACAGTAGGAAAAACTCAAGAGCTCAAGGCTGTGGAATATTCAGCTTTTTCAGCAGTCAGATGCTGCTAGCACCATGCTACTGAAAAGCTGCATCAGGCAACAAAGTGCAGTATTCTCAGAGAGCCCAGACTCCGTTTTATTCAAAGAAAGTTAAACTTACTAACACCAAGTGACTATAACACAAAGTAGGTCTAAAGAAACTGTTAACGGTTATACAGCTCTAACTCTTGAACTTTATTTTCCTATATCCCACAAATAAAAGCCATAGCTTTTAGCCCAACATCAGACTCAGGCACTTCACATCTGCCTCTTTTCTAAGAGCAGAAAATGCAGATCTTTCTTAGGTTTAACAGCTACAACTGTCAGCTGTTAAAGATGATTCATGTGACCAATATTTAAAAATTTACCAAATGTTAAGTAAAGTAAGTGTTTTACTAATTATTTCTCACTGGATAATAAAGCAATCAGTACATACTTAATTGAATACTTGCATACAGACTATCAATACACTGCAAAACAATACCCACTTGGGAAGCTATCCCTTTGCTGGCTACCATTTATTTGATTCACTTTGTCAGACATGTATAGGTAAAAAGGAAGAACATTAATAGGCATTTGTCTAAACCATTGCTCCAACTGTTCTTTGACAGTCTTCCTACAGTGTTCAAAAAGGACTACTATATTTTATTACAAATGGTGGAAAGAGTTAAGTATAGTTTAAAATTTTGGTTTTTGTGACACAGAACACATTCTATATTTCTGCAGGGGACATTTATTGACTTAGAGAGGGTATGAGATGAAAATAGTCAACATGCACTTTGTAAGACACAAGCAATATAAATGAAAGATGGAATACTTCAGATGGAAGCACCTGTTTTTGTTATGTTTCAAAGTCCTACTTGAATTATTTTGTTTACATATAGTGTTCTAAGTATTTACAGGAAAAAATAGAAAAACCCACATATCAGGGCACTGTCAATAATAATAAACCCAACTACAGAAAAGATTCACAGGACATGGAAGCCATTTAAAGGAAATAATTTAAAGGAAACATATTTAACATTTGGGAGAACAAATCGCCTGGATTTATTTACTACTTTTTGTTTCCACTAATTTACATTTTTCCAGGAACTAGAAGATTTTTAACTACCATGTATTTTTCAAACAATTCTGAAAAATGTAGGTGTGTTTGAGAGGCAGCTTGGGTTATTAGTTGATACATTGTTTCTATGCCATGCTTTGTGATCTTCCAAATTAGTATGAACAAGTAGTATTTTCTTCTACTGTGGGAACACTAATGAGCGTGACAAAGAAATTACAAACAGTGGCCACAAACATGTAAAAAAGTTGAACACATGTGCCACTGCTATGCAAAAGCATTAAAAAAAAGCATAACAAAAACATACTATGTCAGAGTGTTAAGCAATAAGCTTAGATAATCCACTTTACCGTCTCAGTATCAGAACTCCAGAAGTCTAATGATGTCGGAGAAGGTCAGCATTTGAGATGCCAAACATACTTTTCTGTCAACAGCACATTTCATTATGCTTCCCTAATTATACATTCCTGCACCACACTGAGGCAATTCCATGCTAGAAAACGCAACTGTGAATATGAAGCCTTTGTACTAGCTGGGCCACATGTGAATTCACTTTGAGTATTTCCCAAGGTTATCTACTTGGGAAACATAATATAAAAGTAAATGTAGGCAATGTCATCTTGAAATAGCTTTAAGATAAAGTGCAGGTTTCATCAACAGATTGGTACATATAAAACCTGTATTTACATACTTCCATTGTAATTCTTACTACTGTATAATGAACTCAAGTTAACTACACGGCAGTAACATTGTTAATAATGTGTGCTTAAGAGCAATTATAATGTGATTCTGGGCAATGAGCTCAAACAGAACAGGAAATAAATTCTTCAAAAGTGCATCAGCTCCAACCCTACAGAATATTACATGTTTGAGCAATTATTAAAAGTTACAGTAAGAGAAGAATCCTATTTTATTTGTATAGTTGAAAAGAATAATACATATTAAAAGGAGCATGTAACTTCACAAGGCTAACGTAGCACTAAATTTTTGAGATAGTACACCTAGAAAGAGACTAAGTTTGTGGCTGAGAAATGCCCAAACTACTATGCTGTCCTCAAGCTCTCCCTCCAGAAGAGTCTGCAACTGAACACAGGCAGTAGTGCTTTGTCCTCTTACTGCAACAGAACAGGAAAAGTAGTATTAGGTGAGAAACAGATGATGTATGACTACCAGTATAAGAACTTAGTAAGCAGAGAATCCCAACAGCAGGGAACACTCATATTGCATTAGGAGACCGGAAAAGACTAAATAGAAAGGCAAGGGCAAGGCTAGCAAACAATTACAACACATTTAGCAAGTTCACTTCAATGTTGTGCAAATTCTTTCCATAGTGATTGCCCTCAAGTGCTATGTTAATCAAGCACACACCAATAGCTCACCTACAACAGCTTGGGGTTTTTTGCCTAATTTATTGGATGCATAGAGTTCAGCATCTCTTTCTCAAGAAGCGTAACAATATTAGGCAAGATCTTAAGACCAATGCTTTGAAGACTGGGATGCTGTAGAGTTGCTATTTTTGCTGAAGCCAAACAACTTTAAAGTTCAGTATAAATTCATGTCCATCATAATGGACTGGACTAGCAAAACATTCTTTTTAAAAAGTTCCATTTCTAAAAAGTCCTCATGCTACATACATCATACGCTCTCTTCCACTGAAGAGCAGTGTTTTTCAGTCCACCAACTTGAGTTCAGTTTAGCTTAACAGTTAGACCTAGGCAAGAGGCCTGATTCTCAGCTTTCCCATTTCTTCAGCTAAGTATATAATGCAACTCAAGATAAATTAAAATGTGGCCAAATTAGAAGGCTAGATGTCTACATTTTCTCCCTATTAAACATAAAAGGTGTGCACTAGTGAAAGCTTTAGACACAATGTATATTACAGAAAAAAAAAAGAAGTCATTTGGGTTAGTGCAGAAATACAAAGCAATTCCAGATGAGCAACCCTCAAGTAAATTTCAGGGAATGTTCACAGAATTGAGAAAAGCCTAAGCTCAAAACACCAATTCAGTATCCTTCTTTTCATGCCAAGGTATGTTATCTTGCTTGAAAAAGAATTGCAGCGAGGTAGTCATGAAATGTTGGTGAATATTACGAACAATGTTCTCCCTTTTTCCACAATTCAAGATCTCAGACCTCATTCATTTGTTCTTCCTTTAGAAAGCAGGCTGTTAAAGGAAAATAACTGATTATTTTTGTTACCGATTTCGTGAATTAAGCCTTGCTTTCAATAACACACTTGCACTTCTGAATTCATTGGAAAATGGAAGTAAAAGTTCACATGCAATTAAGTATTCCATAGTGATTACTTAAATTGAACACAGATACCAATTTCTTCAGTTTGATTTGCTCTACACCCTTTTTTTTTTAAGCCTATATGCAGAGTTTCTTTGATACGTATGGTCTTTTTTGAGCAAGAGAGTAAAATATCAAAGAAATAAATAATCAAAGCACATCTACAAGCTCAAAATGTGGCAGCAAAAGCTCAGGCAATATCTACAGCATCAGCATAAACATACCATCTGGCACGCCTAACTTTCATGTTAGTATTCATATAATCCTTTCCCAGGTTACTGACAATTAATTTAGAGAAGCTTTATCTGACATTAAGGTAATCTAATTTAGTAAAAACTTTACTGTTAAATCTGTCTGGATATTGTGAAAGGTAAACATGCTAGGCTACTTCTAGTATATATTTTCAAAGTTGTTGCTTGAAGAACACAGCAGTAATTACAGGTCACTTTGTTGACGGGCAGCATGTTAGGGCACATTCCATTTATTTAGCTACACTTTACTCTCTGTACAAACAAATCATCAGTAGGTTATAATCACACTTCAGATGTGTAGTTAGTTATTTTTACAGTGTCATGCTGTATTACTTTTGATGAAAAGGTATTATAGCAAACACAGTAACGACCACTATAAAATCAAGCTTATTTTATGACTTCCATTAGTTAAAGTTGCTTTACTTATTTCGAATGTTGTTAGTCTTTATGGTCAAATTTTAGGCTCAATTTTTCTATGTCTACCTCAAGTTGATTTCCAGTTTTAAGTAAGAGAGTAAACAGTTTCTCAGAAACTGTTGAAAGATGAAGCGAAGTCATTTGTCCACATAAGATTTTTTTCTTCAGTTTTTATGTTACAAAGATCTCAT